CTGGGGAAACTTTTGTCCTCCAAATACTTCAATGAATTTTACTTTATAATCCTCTGAAGGCTGCGTTTCTCCCTCCCTGATGTTGGTGCACTTTCTTCTACCACACTTCTTCCTTCCACTTAATTTTCTGGTAATATGCCTGAAAACAGAGCAGGCAGCTCCTCCAGCATGGCTTACCCTCCGTCTGTGCAGTCAGCAGCTTCCCCTGTTGAGACCTTAAAGGCTGATCAAGGGGACACCGAGTTTCTAATAATTATTCTACTGAATTTTGTTTTTCTTTATCTGTAAGCTACAATAATCAAACTTCCAAGGAAATATTATGAGGATTAATCGCTTTCGAAAATAAACTGCAAAATTATATCTCAGTATTCTATGTTTTTAGATTCACTGGCTGCTGGTCAACATTCCCATTCCTCAGAGTCCTTCACTGAGAGTTTAGATGCTGCAGCCTTTCACCTCTGAACCCGGTACACTCGTGTCCAGGGCGGCACCAGGGCCAGGATGCGGGCCACCAGGTCCACCAGGGCGCTTGGCGTGTAGCTCTTGTAGCGGCCCGTCTTCCACAGCTCATACAGACCCGTGCCCCGGATCACCAGCGTCGGGTAGAGCTTCAGACCGTCGGGCCGGAACGCCGGATTCTCAAAGAACTCCTGCAACAAAACAGAATGGAGGAGACGTATCAGCACATCTGACATCATTTGCATAATGAGCCGTGAACGATGAACTAGTTTGCTTCAAACGGTGGAAAACAGCCAAAAACTGCAAGATTATCTGATCTCATTTCTAATGGAACCAATCAGGGCGGGACGGTTAAAAGCAGCCGATAACTCGGCTAATAAAAAAAAAGCAGATCTTTGGGTTTAGGCTTTTCCAAGTTAGGGGGAATCCGTGTGATTCCTCCTCCCCTCGGCACCCGCTATCACAATCACGACCGTGAAGATCAGCGCTGTGGAATCGAAGCAAGCTACCAAAAATAAGCCTGGTTATCAGTTTCTTATCTTTCTGCTGTCAGCGCTCCTAATCACATGAAGACGTGTTCCTCATGGGCCTGAAGTGAACCCACAGGGAGGGAGGGGGGCGCTAATCAGACCAATAACAACCCGTCTAGGGACTATTCTACTGATTCTGCACCTGCTACCGGTTTCAATTGTGCCTCACAGCTCCTGTCTGCCGGCAGAGAGGAGCCGCGTTACGGAGGCCTACCTTGGGACACGAGATAAGAGGACAGGGCCTAAGGTTGGCAGGAGGTGGAAATCGAAAGCCATTATCAGGAGACAGAGAGGATGCGGCGTTCTGCTGTCCCCTCAGCAGGTCTTAAACTGGTCAGGGATCATCCGCGTCAATCCCACACACAAACCTAAGCCTGTCTGAGTGAATCGGTTTCATGCAAAAATTGGACGACTTCTTTAGATCCCACTGTAACGTCGGCTGCCGTTTGCATCATGTAGGCAGCATTTATTTCGCATTAAAATCAAATTAGACACTGCTGACAAACAGCGACTTGATGTACGACCTGGAATAATGGAAAGCATTTTGTTTCTGCTTAATCCTTTTGATACCAAGCTGCAGCCTGGTGGGGAGGGGGACGTCTGACTAAAATTAACGGCCCAGATCTTACTCAATATTGACAAATCTCTCTCCCTGCTGTTTGAAGCATTTTAAGTGGATTTTGATGCAATTGGTTATGGCTGGCTGGTTTAAAGGGAAGGACATCTTGAGACGCCGAGAGAAAACAAGAAGGTGATCTAATATTCTGAAATTTAAAGAGAGTCAGACTTTTAAATCATTAAAATAATAGTGAAAAAGTTTAAATAAATTGCACTTATTTCCTAACATGGACCAGATGGATGTCAAGTATGTGAGCGGCTATCAAAGAAACTGTTGTTAAAGGGGCATTATGCAAGTTTAAAAGTCTAATATATTTTTTACTTTTCCATACATGCCGTTAATGACAAACTGATTCTCTGGGTGTTACCTGCTCTATGCTCGCGTTAATCTTTGCTTCTTTTTGAAATCTGTCACCATAGAAAGAACATGGCCGACAACTTTTAAAGAGCAGCCACATCAAACCCCATCAATGACTCCAGAAAATCAAAACAAAAAGAGACAAATTGGAGTCTGATTGGCAGTGGAATAAGATGAGAATAAATATCAGGGTAGCTTTCGACAAAAGAAAGGATTTGGTCCTATTTTATACTTAAAAAAGATCAAAATAACTTAAATATTAATAACCTAGCTAACACAAATGAAATTATGCCTTTGAAGAAAAGACCAACACAGCTGCAGCAGCAGCAGACTGGGGTGTTTTCCTCCTCTTCCATCCACGCAAACAACAACATGGTGTCATTTCAACTTGCCACCAGAGGGGGCAAACTTTTAGAAAATCTGTGAAACTTCGGTTTTGCTCCTTAAAGTAAATTGGTCTCAAACTGGAGGAGTTTTAAAGTAACTCCGGTGACTGTAGACCAAATATCAGTAAAATTTGAGAATAATTCAGGCTAAATTCAGCCTAAAAGCGGCCAAAGTTACTGAAGAGGCTCAGATGAGTCGCTGACTGAGTCATGTGACTCAGAACGCCGCTTCAGAGCAGTCTGATTCTCTTAAACAGCAGAGCTATGTAAGCTGCTTAAGCCTACCAAACAGATATGAGCCTTAGGTGATCAGATGTAGAATCTGATCTAGAAGGGTGGTCGTCGTCTGCTCCATCTGCTGGTCGAAAGTGTTTTTGTATCAGATCAGAAAACACTGAGGGAGACTGATTACTAACAGTGCAGTGCTGCCAGTGGCCTTCAGGGGCGCTAAACCTCTCTGCTTCTGTCTCCTTGAACCGAAGTGGCCTCGGCAGATGGCCGCTCACATTGAGTCTGGTTCTGCTGGAGGTTTCTTCCTGTTATAAGGTAGTTTTTCCTCCCCACTGTCGCTACAAGCATGCTTAGTGTGAGGGATTGCCTTCGAGAGAATGAGTCGATGCAATCAACTGGTTTTCCTTAGATAGAAACTTTGAATCAATCTGACTGGATGATCTGCTGAACTGTAAAGTGCCTTGAGATGACACGTGTTGTGAAGCTATAGAAATAAACTGAATTGAATTGAACTTATATTCAAAGCGCCCCCTGGTGGCTAAAATTCAGACAGAATTGCTTTAAGTACCTTGGCATTTCATTCACTCATGATGGGACGATGGGAACGAGAGCTGTATAGCCGGCCAAGTTTTGTTTCATGCCAACAAGATCCAGGATACCAGCCGATGGTGGCTGGTGACTACAGCTTAGTTTACGCTTGACGCGTGTCCTCAAACCCAATATTATATAAAATGAGTGCCTGGCCCGTCTGCTGATCATGAAAAACATTGATGGATGACATAAAGAGACTTTAAAAATGTCAAAAACAGCTATGGCTTCTACTTCTACGTGTTTTCTGGATGTTGTGTCCAAGTGTGACGTCAATCAGAACTGAGCCTTCAGTCTCAGAGACGGGGGTAAATGGAGCCACTGCTTCCCCGCATCGAAAGGACTGTTTAGGTGGACGGCTTTATTTGGAGGGTCTGTGTGTGCATCCCACTGGGAGAAAACCCAGAGAAGACCCTGAACAAACTGGAGAGCCTTGACCCCCTGGACCTGTTGCCCCAAGTGATAAAGCTGCAGATAAGTGTAAGAGCGATGGACTGAACCATTTACAGCGGTTGTTTTAAACTGCTGAAATTATCTTAAAAAAAAAATAAAATGTTCTGTCTGACTAGCTGTTAGCCTCTTTAAGGTTTCAGTCACTCTTTCTACAATCTCCAACACCTGACGACGTCTGGCGGGTAAGGAAGAAGGTATCCAAAGCTGTCACATTAAGGAGCAGAGAAATCAAGCTAAAAACTTATGAAATCTGCTGTTTCTTACTCTTTAAATTGAGTTTTATGAAATGTATGGCATAACTAAAGAAAGTACTTAAAAATCATTAAAAAGTTTGGATTCATGTTAACCTGATATTTCACCTTTCCTCTGAATTACCCCCCTATCGTTTGACATCGATGGTGAGAACCTGGATATCTTACAGCACAGGCTAATTTGGTTCCCCTGACAACCTGTCGACTGCTCCTGGACGCCCCTTCTATTAATGGTGGGAGCTAAATTTTACGGCACGGCTTCAAAATCCCAAGCCGCTTCGCTTTTTGGCTCTCGGAGTGAAGGTTTGTGACGAAACTGAAATTCCCCCCCGTCTCCTGGTGGCAGGCAGCGTGCCATGAAAGATTAGATATGGTGAAGAGGAGCAAAGGGAAGTCACACAGAACTTGTATAATCTAAGTGTCAGAGTGATAAGAAAGAGAGGGGGAGAGCTGCAAAGAGGGAGGGGATGTGACTGGAAGAGGACAAAGGGACGAGAGCGGGGAGATTGATGGAACGGGAGGGAAGGGAAACTTACGACTGGAGGAAGAAGAGATAAGGCCAGAGTGAGGGAGATGGAAAAGGAAAGAGAAAAACCTGTAAACAAAGAGACAGGAAGCAGAGTCAGAGGAGGAAAATATGTCTAGAAGTGACAGAGGAAACGCTTGAGGGGAGGAAGAGGTTCAAAAACATTTAATCTGCTTCCCGCACTGAGTCGACCTGCAGCTGGCCTTCATATTAATATGAGACACGTTCAGCAACACTAGAGCTTCAGTAAACAAACATACAGGTAATCGGAGTAATATGTGAGGAGGCAGACACTTTCAGAGGACTTCATTCTTTAGGTGTGAAGGAGGCGGCTTTATGAGGACGATGCGTGTGAATTCTAACCATCTAATTTCTTTCTGTTTGGCTACTGAGCATTCAGGCTGCTGATAAAAACTCTGGTCAAAGTGGTGAAATGTTGAGATTTTTCTATTGACAAAAGCTTTTTACTTTATGTTAATAGGCTCAGTGTTTTCTGGATTGTTACACAGAGCTGCTTTAGAGGAGGTTTGCTCATGTTTTTCTTGTTCATGGTGGTTTTTCAGAGAAGAACTGTGAGGACGCTCACTTCCTCGCAGATTTAAAACTATGATGACAATGATTCGTGGTGGAATCACTTGTTTCCTCTGAACAGTATTCCTTCTGTCTGCCGAAAGCTGTAGTTTTTCTACTACAGGAAGAGATTCTTTGCTATTCTTGACCACGAGGTCATCCAGAACTCTTTCAGTGGGATGACGCCGCTCTGGAGAACGCCGCAGACTCCTGAACGTCCTGAATCCTCCTTCACTGCTTCCTACATGTCAGAGCTTTTTGATGGAGTCTGATGATGGCTGCCAGCTAAAAGAAAATGGTTTGTAACACATCTCTCCGTCTTTGCCACCTCCCATCTTGTCGTAAACGCTGGCGTTTAATAAATAAAACTCTGAGGGAATGAGGGGGATTTCATGGAGCCTCAAATTTTATCACATTTTTTAAATCTTTGTCACTCTCACACTGAAATATGAAGCCTGCTCAGCTTCAGTTCCTTTACACAGACGTCTTGCTCTTTTCTATTAAAGGTCCAACTAACCCCATAGGAAAGAAGTTGCAAAGCTCTTTGAAATAAATAAAACAGGAAGTGTAACTAGATAGAGTGATGTTACCATGGAGATTTGAGTCAAAGCTGCATCTGTATCAGGTGTGTGGTAGAGGTGTCACACGGTCTGTGTGCTTCAGACATTTAAAGACCTCCA